CCTATTCTCCCAACCGCCTGCTTGAAGATAATCTCCTGCTGCCTCACGGCCTGCGTTGAAGGCGCTACTGAGGGCTTCAACAAATCGCTGGGCATAAGACTACGATATCTTATTAAGATGTCTTTAGGAAGAGGATCCTGCTATTTGGGGTCTGCGGCGAAATCTGTAAAGTCAGGTCTCATTCAAGAAAGGTTTGGAGTCGGGGCTCAAAGCCTTAATGCTTACTACTCGGTAAGTTTGAGATGTGGGGAATACTGGTCGTTTGAGGTGCAGAACATCGGTTTAGGCGGTTTAGGGCTTCTAGGGAAACTAATAATACAATACCGATAGCTTACGTGAGTCCGATTTAACGGTTTAGGGTTCGCCAGGGGTGGCGCGCTGGTCATAAAAGAATATGTTGAGGGGCAAACCTTGATGCCGCCCGAACTGCCCTAAATTAAAGTCATAAAACCCTAAACCCAAACCTCTAAAACTCCACACCCTGAAGCTGAACCCAATAGCCCTAAACATCTTACAACTGCCTACATTAAGAAACGTTCCCTTCCCGACGAAACACATACGGCAACAGGATTTTTGCATATGCAGCATGACGAAACTAGTAGATCGAGGATATAGTTGATTCTAACGTTAAGAGTATGAACACATATACATATCTATGTATACATGTGTAGGGCATATAGATATATGTCACATAACGGCAGATGTGTATTCTATTTATACATGTATACGTATATATACATATATATATGTGTGTCTATGTGTAGTGGTCATATATGTACAACACATACAAGATCTAGTGATCGCCGGACCCCACATCCCTACGCCTCTTCGCGCTTGTCGATGAGGCGAAGCTGAGCAAGGTTCTCCTCCCGCTTCGGACAGTTTGGATGCTACATGTCTGCGGGTTTCGTACACACAAAAGTTGAAACATAGGTTTAGAAAACTCGTGCAGGCATTCCATATGCTTTCTTTTTAAAGGGCATGCGGATAATGATGTTCGAACTTCTTTGGCAGCTTTTGTAGAGTCGAGGTCGTTTTACACTTTGGTTAGCCAAGGCATAGGAACGCAAGGGTGGCTTTTCCGCCTAAGGTGTATGGTATATTATCTAGGGCTTCGGGGGACCGACTTGTGAGTCTTTTTGAACATAACATTCGACAAATTGCCAGTTCAAGACTGCTATCGTGGCTTTTGTCCGCAGCCTCGTCACGCTCTGTCATTGCTGTGGAACGGGCCAATATTTCGCTACAAGGGCTCGCTTTTGCAAGCTCACATGTCGCAGACTCGAAACCCTGCAGCATGCCGGCGAAGAAAGGCCATCGCATGCAGCCTCGCGGGTCATGCGTGCATGTGGTCCACCAGGGTTTACAGCCCATGCTGTGGCTGAAGTTTCTCAACAGAAGCTCTCAAACCATTGCGGTGCAAAGCCTGAAGAAACAGAAGACAACAGATTGGCATGTTGACTGAAGGACTTGTACAAGCACTCCCGTACCGGAAGTTCAGGTGCCTCGGATACCCGAAGAGCTGATGGCATCTACTAGGATTTCAGAAGGTTCCGGACGTCCTGAACCCAAACCCTACAGCCAATTGTCGCTGTGTAGGAGTAGACTACAGATTCTCATATGCTCAGCTGCTACCTGGTTCTCGCAAAGCACAAGTAGGGGATAAATGTAAACCCTCAAACACTAAACCCTCAAAGCCCCAGGAAGAATAAGGCCTAACAACACGCCTAACCCCTAAAACCTAAACCCCAAACCCTAACATCTTAAAACCCCGCACACACTCTTTTGCAGCCGCTTCCTCCGATGAAGATGCCTCTGGTCTTCTATGTGCACACAGCCGAGCCCGCTTTTCGCAGCTTCGTCAGGTTGATCATATTATGGGTTTAGGGTTTCTTTCAGGATGTCAAAGGTTGTTAACCAGTTTCTATGTTGCTTGCAAAGCATGAATCACGAATGTTACAGGGCTGTGCATCGCGAAGACGGGGCGATTTTACGGTAGTCCCACTTCCGCATGAAACCTGAAAGCCGCTGACCCGGTATCAGAAATTGTTTAGGGTTCGGGTTCAACCTAAAATCTGTAAACCCCAAGTGCCAGAATTCAACCCATAGTCTGAAACCCAGAACACTGTGCCACACAGCTACAAACCTCGAACGCACAGTGATTTACGTACTTCATTGCAACATTAGCTGCTTGTGTCAGCACATGAGTCACATTCATGTGCATGTACAAATATACATTGTGCAATCATACATACACATCGTTTGTACATACATGCACGTGCCCACACACATACAGACAGACACACATGCATGCATAGACCGGACACGCTCGCACACATACGGACATACATTCATGCATAGCCACACACACACACTTACATGCATGCATGCATGCATACATACATACATACATACATACATACATACATACATAACTACGTACATACAGAAACATACATACATGCATGAACACACACAATCGTTCATTGCTGTATTCATTCATTCATCCATTAATTTACTCACTCACATTCGATCATTCATTTGTTCGTTCGTGCATACGGACTGCAGGCACACGTGAATGCATGCATACATTTATACCGCATTTGAATATGTATTTTGAGGATATAGACAGACTGTGCAGCTACACTCGCGGGCGGGCGCATCTCCAGCTTTCCCCCCGGAGCAGGGGAAGTCCGATGCTAAGCTTCAAAGAATCAATTGGCCTCTGCCAGGGTAAAAATGTTCACCGCTGGTGGGCGGCTGCGCACTGGACTGACTGCAGGTCAACCTCTTTTAACGGTACATTCGTTACTCGAGGTATAGATTTGACAGGGGCTGCCGCGAGTGATGCTACAGCCAGGCGACCAGAGCACAAAGAGACTAACACATCTACATGGCTCAGACTCGCCGTCACTTGAAGTAAGTCTCCTGCAGGGCGGCACACGGCCATAATCAATTCTAAAGGCTAGCCGGGCTGCTGTTGAAGCCCTCTTTGAACACTGTGCCTTGCATATGTTGCGAAACAACATGTTGCCCTATGTTAATACTTGCCCAAACCCAAACCCGAGTACGAAACCATGTGATTTGTTCTGAACCCTTGGAGCCAGTTTTCAGTGACGACATCCAGCTGTTCTAGAGGAAGGAACTCGTAGGCAGAAGGGTTGTGTAAGTGTGCCCCATTGTGCCACATATAGAGACTCAGGACCCTTTGGATCAGGGACCGCTAGCACAGCACCCCCTCACTGAAGTTCGTTTTGATCCTGATCCGAATCCCAAACCCAAAACCCCTAAGCCCCAACAAACCCTAGGCCCTAAACCCCTAGTCTAGTCTCCAAGTGGTTGCTTCGAGACNNTCCGAGAGACCGCATGCATAAACCCCTAACCCCGAACCCAGGTGGCATGTAATCCCGACACCTTCTGAGCTGGTTAATTAAACTAAACTTTCAATCAGGAAGCCAGGTGCCCTGTTAAGCCAGAGGTTTAGGGTTTTGAGCACGGTGTAGGGTCTAGGGTTCATAGAAGCCCAATCAAACGGAAAATCAGCATAAACTAAGCCATAGCAGATCCAAGCCTGCAACATCCTCATATAGAAGCCCGAGAAGTCAAGATGAGATACAAACGACGAGTGGGCAAACATAAACAAGCATGAATCACGAAACTACCAAACATGCTATGCTCAGTGGAATGCATGTGCCAAGAAAACAGACATGCAACATGCATGCATGCAATCATGTAAGCTTGCGACGCCTGACCACTGAGTATATAGTAGAAACCAAACCATGTAAAGCAGCCCACACTACGCAACATGCGCTCTTGCACATCCTTGCCGATTCGATGCCTTCCTTAGGTCCTAACCGTCCTAACTCGTCTTGGAGACTGGGCGCTGATTTACAGACTAGCCACCAACGGTGTCGCATCCTTGTAGTTTCAATTGATATAGTAAGGTACTGTTGATAGGGGCTTAAAGCTGCATTCCCGTAGTAAGTCTGGTATTGAAATGATGCTTTCAACGAATGGTAAAACTCCCAGAATTTGCAAGACATCAAGACTGGTTCCCAGTTGGGGCTATACTAACATGATCATGTTTAATCCTCATTGGGTTTTAGTATTATAACACAAAAATGTAGAACTGTAGCCAGCAAGGACCCAGAAGAGACCTCCTCGTCCTCTGAAAGGATGGCTACACATCCAAGGTCATCCTTCCGGGTTGCGAAATTGCTCTCTTCTTCAACAACCAGGCCCAAAACAGTTCAAACTTTTTCGGATAGACCTAACATAAAAGGCCAACAAGCTTAAAGTTCTCCCATTGGCTGTTTAAGATTGAGAGTGCGTGGCCGCGGGTTAGAGGCTTCAGACAGCACTGAAATCCTACTAATCAAAGACCCCCTTAGAAAGAATCCGTGTTTTGACCCAAGGGAGATTCCCCAAACGCCGCTTATTAGTGATCATATATCATTAGTTAACTTGGGTCCCGGGCTGGAGCTATAATTTGTGTCATTATGCGGTTGAGCTGAGGATTCCAAAGAGCGCAAACCCTACCGGAATCTCGTCCGAAGATTGAAGCACAACTGGGCAGGACAAGAAACAACAGAAGGCAACAACTGCATGGTGTAATCTTCGTGTCTCAACTCAATTCAACTCACTACATTTGTATTCGCTTGAAAAAATGTTTATTTGTATTCTGGTCCGCCGCATGGATGTGAGGGCCATAGGGTTCAGTGCTGGAGTTGTGTGGTTCCCTGAATCAGGGTCCTTGCTCGTTATTGCTCGGTTCCTCAAGTAGTTTTGGCTAAGCTTGGGGGTACGTCACTCTGCTTAGAAATGCTTGCAGTAACGATCGCAAGAGAAACCCTAAAACGGAAGACTTAATGAGCTCCTTAATCTAGTCATAGTATGGTATTATGAAGGCCGCTATACTGAACCACCGTATACCCCCTAGCTGCTAGCTATAGTAACCCCTACAGACCCGTAAGGCCCGGAAGGTCCCGAGTCAGTCCGGCCTTCTTCTCGGTGCATTTCCTGGGATCGGCCGGGTTGATCATGCATCGCTTGCCTGGCCCAGGGCTCAGGATTTAAGAGTTTAGGGTTTAGGGCTTATAGGGTTTAGGGTTTAGAGTTTTTTGTTTTCTTTATATGTCCTGAAAATGGTAGGTTCTTTGGGGCGCTAAGGTATGGGCTGCGACCCGGAAGCACCGGCTTCCAGCGGTGTAGAGGGTGTACAGGGGTATTTGTCGGATTTCCGAGCTCTGTCCTAGAGCTCCCTATTATGATGTCTGTATATGTATGTGTGTATATATATATATGTCCTAAAAAGGGTAGGTCGGGTAGGTTACTTGGGGCCAAACCATTTACCCAGCCCAGAGGAAGCTTGTGATCTCCTTTGAGGGTGCAGGGACCGTGGCGTTCTGAACTATATAGTAGTATATACTATGACTATAAAACAAGGAACCCCCCCAAAAAAAAAGTATTGCAATTATTTAGGCCCCTATAGTAAGGGTTTAGGAGTTTAGGGTTTAAGGTTTAAGGGTTTCAGGGGTTGGAGATCGAATTTATCGTCTGAAGTTTGGCGTCCTGGATTCTGGGGCAAGGGGTGCCTACAACACTCGGGACCCTTCCAAGCCTCTCTACCATGACTGACCCCGGAATTAGGTCTCCACTCCCTAAACCCTAAACCCTACTTGGAGGCCCAGGGGACTTAGTAAGCCGGTTATAAGTAGGGTTATA